ATAAACTGGCCATAATAATGCATTAGGCGAAACGTTACGTTCGTGGCCGTAACACGAATTACGGATAATTTCGTCATTTTTACACTCTTTTGATAAAACTCTCTAATATTTCTCTTCGGTCATTTATTAAAAATATATTCAACTTCTTTTTCTCCATCTAAAAAAAACATTAACGTGAAAATAATAGGTATATATTACCAGTAGAATTTTTTTTTTTTTTTTTTAAACGAGTAACACATTATGAAATTACTTTAATGATTACACGAAAAACCGTTAAATTCTAAAAATATATTTATCGAAGTAACTAATAAAATAAAATTTTTCATTTATTCATAACTAAAATGCTTTGAAGTAATTAAAAAAAAGAAATAAAATAAAATAAAAAGTAACTATTTGTTTTTGTAACTTAAATATATTTTAAAACAATTATTTTTATACATAAAATTTAAATATTGTTTTAACGGTTATATTTAATGTTAACAGTTAAATAGATATTATTATTAAAAGTTTATTATGTTAATAAGGAAAAAAAAATTTTTTTGAAATTGAGTTTATTTCGCGGTTATTTAAACACAAATATTTATAGACTCTCTAATTTTATTTATATTCCACTTGTGTATAACTAAATCGCGCAATAGAATTTTTGTTAAAATGGTTATGGAACATTGCTTAACAATTTAATTAAACAGAGTTTCGTCATTTTGCCATTTTTTTTAAAGTACTTTACTAAAATTGTTTTTTTTTTTTTGCAAAGTTAAACAGTTGGCATTATTTCTTTTTCTCAAAGGCATATTAATTAGTATTCGATATTTCGATTAATCGAAATTCTCACAATCGAAATGTCACAACAGACGAAAAACAATGCTGTGTTGAACGTAAAAAGTAAGCTAAAAAGAGCCGAATAAAAATAATAATTTTTATTAGAAAAAAAGTAATTATTTTTAATTTCATTTTGTTTTTTTTTATAATTAAAATTTTTTTAATATTTATTTATTTATCGTAATTATTTTATTAATGTCGGCCAACTTCGGTAAAGATTTTATTTATATTCGTTTAAGTGGTGAGTCAACTTAAAATTTTCTGTAAATTCTTTGAATTCGGTTCTTATTTTTTTTAAATTTTCACATTATTTTTAGTTATTTTATTATAGGTTTTAATTATCATGTGAAATTATTATTATTTTCGTACTATTTATCGCAGGAAATTAAAATTAATAAATTAATAGCTTTTGTCACACCCACAATTTCAAGGTTATTAATATCCTAGTGTTGTTATTTTGGCCGCCTGAAAAGTTCGATGTATTATTAATTTATTATATTTATTTTATTAATGATTTTTTTTTATCATCTTTGGTAATATTTTAATAAGTGACTTTGTTTAAAAGAGAGTTAACTTCGTATGTTTTATTATAATTTCAGGCTAAAATTTAAGCCTTATTTTCATTATCCACTAACTAAATCACAACTTTGTCACTAATGTGGTAATGATTATCAGGGCCAGTGTGGGCATAATTTAATAAGGAAATTTCCTATATCCTAAATTTGAATCTTCTAAATCGATTAAATAAAGATATATGAATTCGTGTAGTTTATTTAGTTTTTTTTTTTTTTTTTTTACGATAAAAAAAATTATTGTTTCAAATGATGCTTATAAAAAAGAATACATTTCACAATTTTTATATTTCATAACACTATTGCTGTTAAAAATAGTTGGATATTTGAAGAAACTAATTTCTCAAGTGTGTAATGTTCTTATTTCTTTTCCTGCAATATAAAAAAAATTTGGGTTAAATTTATTTTATTTTATGTTTTTTTTTTTTT